TTAAAATAATGTTTTTAATGGTTACTTTGTGATCTATATTTCACCATTTGAGAGAATTAAATATACATGAATATGCATGACTAACAGTATTTCTCACACATGCCAGAAGTGATCCTGTTAGATCTAGGAAATTTGTCTTGTAAAGTGTGATGCTATATATCTAGGTGAAAATGATGCTGTTCACCTTCCTACCTATCCCAAGGTGGGGATAGGGAGGCTTGTATAAAAATCTGATATTCTGTGCTTCTGTGTTTGCTCTTTTTACCTATTTATTGGGAATAGTGTCCTGGAGTAATGCATACAAGATATCCGGGGCTTTGGCTCGACTGAGTGACTAAACTATACTTGAATTCTTAATGATAGTCTGTGTTGTTTAGACAGGTTTAATGAGCATGGAAGATGATGTATATGGAATGAAAATAAAGGGGGGTGTCGTGCCTGTGTTTTAATTAGAGCTATATGCATTGGAATTAGATGCTTCAGTTTTCACACTGCACGTGCACTCACCAGCGGAGGATTCCTTCCATCTGTAGCATTATCAAGTTGTATTTCAGAATACACAATTCCGATTTATGTGTTTGATTGCGTCTGCTAATTGGTCATTTTTGAATTTCATGTTTAAAGCGATCATTAATCTGTCTGAATTTAAATTTTTTTCTTTAGTTCCTTGCTGAGGCTCTCTCTGTTCTCACCTTTTTCTTATTTTCGAATGTTCTATATAGGTAGAATCACCCAATGCACAAGCACATGGCAATGAAGTTTATGATGATCAATCTGAACATGTGGACGAACGTCATCTGGTATTATATTGATTCTCCTAATGGACAGTTTTATGTTTATGGTATTATCATTGATTTATTATTTTGGTTGCAGGGAGGAGGATCAGAAGTAGAAAACTCAGCAGTACAACCTCAAATGGAGCCTGTCACCCCAAATACAGAAGTGGAGCAAAATTTTAGGGATCATGAATCAAAGGATCAACAGTATGTTCCTCGGCGGTCGTATCAGAATTATAGAGGTGGACGAGGCGGGAATGGGGGTGGCCGTAGAGGAGGATATCCTAACGGTCGTGGAGGTCGAGGCAGCGGTAGGGGAGGCTATCAGAATGGCCGCAGCCAATTCTATGACCAGCCGGGCAATTATTACCCCCGGAACAATCATTTCAGAGGAAGGGGTGGCCGGGGTTTTAGTGGGAATTTTGGTTACCATGCTGGTCAAGCTGCCCATGTTCAAACAGAGTCATAAATCTTAAATTCGTCTGGGGCAAAGTTCGGGATGCAGCGCTGGACAGGATTGGATATTAGAGTAGACAGATTATAACATCGTTTTTGCTCTCTAATACTATCAAATACGGTCCAGTCTCCTCCCTTGCTAAGTGAGTCGTTTACTTCTTACTGGTTTCCTTCTCTAGATTTTCTGGTGTGTGGTTTACAACCATTTTGTTTTTGAATTGGGAGCTATAATCTTTCTTGTCTGGGTAGAAGTGAAATAGCAATATCTTCTTGAATTGCACTGTTTATTCCTGTGTTATTTCGTGTTTTAGCATTTGTCTCTCTTTGGCGATGTCAATTTCATTTTCTTTATTATCTTATGCTTATTCTATTAAGAAATTTAGCAAATTTATCGGAAGCAAATAGAACATTGTTTAACCAATGCTGGACTGGCTGGCCTGTTTGCTTGAAAAATCGAGAAATGGCTCGGTAAACTGTGTTTTGTTAATGCAAACAAGGAAAAAAATGTATGTACATAGGGGGGACTACCGAACTGTGTCCCCGCTCTCACATAACATGTGGGCCCTGTGTGTATTAAATAATGCCGAGCCGTGGCTCTCACCTCTTATTGTGAGTAGTAGGTAAAAGATTAGGTAAAAAAATTCGGTACGTATGGTATGGTCCATGCAAACAATTCTGTATACATGAACACGATCAACAGGCATGGAAAAAATTTAAATTTCAGTTGGTAACGTTTCGTGACCTTGGATAAAATGTTGACTTTTGACTTAATTAAACGGATCATGGTCATAATAACATCAATATCAGTTACACATTAATAACAAATTACACGAGGCTACAATCACATATCAAGCAAGTTATGGGTCACAGATTGGAATGTGTTGGCAATTTGTGTACATGTCTTGCGTCAAGAGCTTGATCTTTATCCATAAATCCTCAAATTATAGCTCTAAAAACATTTTATTCTTTAAAATTAATTTTTTTATGTACAATACGCTCTTTAAAAATGAATAATCTCTTAGAGATGTTCTTGTTGATTTCTTGATCTTGACCAATTTTGATTGAGTTGACTTTTCCAACTATTGGAATAATCTATTATTTAACTTTTTGGTTGCCACATCAATTTCGATAGTTCGATAACTACATGGCCATTTATATTTAGGAGGTAAAACGCATGAGTAATTCTATTTATAACTATTGTTGCTCATCATCGGTTGATATGATAGTGGTGTCACTACTATATCATTCAATAAACTTGAGATACATTTTAATTTATTGAACAAGATGACAATGACTCTATTACCACATAGATTGATGATGAACAATCGCGTTGATAGCTAACATTATTCAAATCGCATCGTTGTCCATTTATCCAATCTCTCTTTTTTTTTTTGCATCAAATAATTGATTTATTATAATTTATTTAAAAAAAGTATTATGCCTCTTATGGTGGCCTATACAATCCAAAATAATTTGATAAGATATACTATACGATACTAAACAATATTAAAAAAAGGAATTAAAATGCTAAAATTGGGTCGATAGTTGTGGCCACGCTACTTAGCACTTACGAAAAGTATCCAAAATGTTTTATTTTGCTATTATTGTTCATATTCCCCTTTGGTAACTTTGACGTAAATGAAACTCTCTTTAATGAATTGATGCAAAAAGCTTACAGCCAAAGCTTTGATTCATTATTTTAATAGACTTGGATTTTGTTGTCTACTAAATTGATGCTTAATGAGATATGTAATATCATAAGCAAAAGCACAAGGTACTAATTACGAATCTCTCTCTCTCTCTCTCTATTTGGAATATTTATCAAATTACTTTTAAAAAGATAGAAATGTCAAAATAAGTGGGTGATGTAAAAGCTAATTGGCATTTTTTTTTTTCGTCAAATACATGAACTAATGGAAATCCTCCTTTTTGGCTGCTTTTCACCTTTGGAGAAAGTTATCATCTTTTTAGCTCAATAAGAGTCCTTTAAATTTAACGTATTTTAATCTCGAATCATTTTGAAACTACCAAAAAAAAAAAAAAAAAAAAAAAAAAAAAAAAAAAAAAAAAAAAAAAAAAAAAAAAAAAAAAAAAACAAACTTTTAATTTTAAAAAAAATTTCAAAAAAACAAATTTTATTTTAAAAAAAAAAAAAAAAAAAAAAAAAAAAAAAAAAAAAGAAAAGAAAAGAAAAAAAGAAAAAAGAAAAAAAGAAGCTAACTTTATAATGTTATGAAGAATTTCATGACATCATATTTATTCTTGAAATAGATGAATTATCCGAAAAGTATCATTTTAATGTAACATGGTGGAAAAGTTTGATGGGTATTAAAAAGGCATCTTCGTGCTTGTTTTAACTTGCGTGTTCCACTTGCGCTCGTCCTTTATATATATATGTCACCCATTTATTAAAGAAAGTGCACGTATAAGGCTTTAATTGAAAAAAAAAAAAAATTATCTACATGTCGGACAAGAAGACATCATACTAATAGGAGTGTCTATGAATCACAGCGTTTGGTTATGAATGCATAAGCATAGTGGAAAGCCCAAATTGTTCGCAATGACCATTTAAAAGGCATTTTGGATCAAAATAATTGGCTCCATATATTGCTAAAAAGTAAAATGAATCAATTCAAAGGACGAATAAGTTTTATAGATTATATTCATGTGCTAATATGTTGTTCTCAAACGAATTTCAAGAAAGTGAAACAGATTGGGATAGATTATGCCTGGAATTAACAGCATGTATCATGAGAATGGAATAAAGGAAAAGCTCCGCCCATGGACGCCTCCTAATTAATGCTAAAACACCACTAACTTCATCGAATATATTCTTTAACATTCCATGAATTTATGTTACTTTTTGTCAACTATCTCATCGTTCGGAGAACTTTTAGTGGCTCTTTATAATTTTGTGATCAAAGATATTTGTTGGAAAATTCTTGACGATTTTTATTCAATAAACAAACATATAAGACAAAAACCCTACAATTGATAACACCGCAAAAAAGAGCTCCACCAACCAAAGATTTAGCGACCAAAAATATTTGGTTGCTATAATAAACTTTCAACGACCAAACATTGGTTGGTAACGGTTTTGGTAGATTAAAATGGGACTACAATTTTTTTTATTCCCTATTGCGACCAGCAATTGGTTGCTAATTCCAAATACTATGCCAATGAATAGGGTGGGAAACAAGTGTGCAATTTTTTATTTTTTATTTTTTATTTTGTTGCACGGAGGATAATATTAGCGACTAATTTTTGGTCCCTGAAATATTAGTTCTACAGCCAAATCTTGTGTGGTCGCTAAAGCTCTTGATAGTAATAAAACTGATTTTTTTTTTCCCGCATGGTGAAAATAGATTATATAGGGACCAATCATTGGTCGCTAAAGGTAAGTTCATAGAATTTTTTGGCAGGTGATATTTTTTGAATAACTTGCTCGCCACCAATCATTGGTTGCGACAAGTTTTAGCAACCATCAATGTGTTCGTCAAAGGATTTCACATGAAACTTTTTTAGCTATTGATTCTTTGAAGAATTAACTAGCAACCAATCATTCGTTGCTAAAGGTACGTTTTAGTAACCAACACTGACTTGGTTGCAGAATGATTTCGCTCGAAATGATACTTTTTGAAGAATTAACTACCAATCATTCATTAGTCATTGTAGATAACATTTTAGCAATGAACAATGTGTTGGTTTCTGAAGGATTTCAATTAGAATATTTTTGGATGATGATATTTTATGAAGAATTAGCTAGGAACCAATCATTGCTTATTGAAGGTAATTTTTAGAACCCAACAATTATTTGATCGTTGAAGGATTTTGCCAAGAATTTTTTTAGCTAGTGATTTTTTTAGCAACCAATAAACGTACCAACAATGACTTGGTTGTCGAATGATTTTGCTTGGAATGATACTTTTTGAAGAATTAACTAGCAACCAATTATTGGTCGCGGAAGGCTCAATTTTAGCAACCATCAATGTGTTGGTGGTTGAAGGATTTCATGTAGAATTTTTTCCACTAGTGATATTTTTTGAAGAATCAAATAGCAACTAATGATTGATTGCTGAAGGTATGTTTTAGACCCCAACAATAATTTGGTTGTTGAAGGATTTCGCGTGGAATTTTTTAGCTGGAAATATTTTTTGAAGAACTAACTAGAGATCAGTCATTGGAGATTCAATTTTATTTTTATATTGTAATTTTTTAAGTTAAGTTTAAAAATTGAAGTTTAAAACTTTAAATGATAAAATGAATAAAAAAAAAATTCACGAAGTGAGTTCTGGGTGAACCTTATCGTGTTGCATAGCCCACAACCCAATCTGACCTGACAAAATTTGAATATTTCTCCCTGTCCTTGCTTTAAATCAGTGTGTGATAATGGAAACAAATAATGAACTTGCATTTAAGCATGACGGGTTCCTGATTGTTAATAACGATGTTCAGGACACTGTTGCTTAGGTTGTTACCAATAGATGCTTATGGATTCATCTATACTTTATTCACCCATTAAATTTCTGCGAATGCAATTTTTGATGGTTTTCCCTTCTTCATGTGTATATAGGCTCTGTTCGACTTCGAAAGATCTCTACATTTATTCTGCCATATTATTTGCTCTTCACATCAACTCTGCCATATTGTTGTTAGATGAAGGCTAGAGATGTTGCCAGGGCTCACAAGAGGAAACAAGTTTATGTAATTTGTTCTTTCTAGTTTTTGGTTTTACCTTCTCTTTTATTAAATAGACGCAAATTTTATTATTACTTGTTATATATGCAATGACAATTATGATTTTGTAGCTACTATTGTATCTTTCTTGTTAATTTTTTAATTTTTGTTATTTTCTCTCGTATTATTTATTGTATTTATTATAAAAAAAATTAAGTAGTCATAAAATCAACTTGTGGTTGTTAAAAATTCAACTAAACCATTGGTCAGAATATTAGCAGCGATCAAATATTGATTATTAAATATATTTAATCAACTTATTCAATATCTAGCAACTAGTTTTTGGTTGGAAAATATCTTTCTGCGACCAAATTTTAGTTGTTGGAAGATAAAAAATAAAAAATAAAAAATAAAAAAAATCTGTTGATCAATCATTTACAGACATGTACTATTTTTTACTTATGGTTCTTCAGAGACCAACATTTGGTTGCTAGAAAATGATAATAGTTTTCATTGATACTTTTTACTAAGCAAAGTTTAGTCGCTATAGGGTGGAAATCGATCAATTTTTACTATTATTAGCTGCCAAACTGAGCCCTTTGCTGACCAAGGTTTTGTTGCTGAATGTAATAGATTCAGCGACCAATTCTAACAACTTTCATTGAGGTGAAGGTGAATTAGCGACCAACCAATGACCATGATATTTTGGTCACTAAAAATACATAGCAACCAAAATAGCCTTTACCAACCAATATAATTGGTCAATGGAGTCCCTTTATTTATTTATTTATTTATTTATTTATTATTTTCGGGTATTGAAGTTGGTCTCGGCAGCCCAAGGACTCGAGAGGAGACCTCACTGCATATTATGAGCGCTCGTGGAGGCATCCACAGCAACGCTATACTTGACCGACGATGGCTCCATACTAGTACAATATCCTAAGGGACCTTTGGACGCTTTGAGCTCATTGAGTTAGAGATTTTACTCAATTCATACTGAATTGCGGCTCAAATAGCAATCCCGTACATTCTATATTCGTGTAGATAAAAATGGGGGGTGTCCGCCCCTTACTCCATTCCTTCCTTTGGTCGGAATGGTGGGGCGGAGGCCCTTGTCTCACTCTGAGCTGTGGAGCATGAGGGTCCCCTGTAACCCCGACCAATATAATTGGTCAATGGAGTCCCCTTTTTCCTTTTTTTTGGTTGGTTGGTTGGTTGTTGTTGTTGTAGTGATCAAAGTACCCTAGCTTAAAACTGTGAGTTAATGTAATTAAAATGAAGAACAAAATTAGAAGTCAACCAAATGAAACAAAAGAGCTTGATTTACCAAGCTCTTCTCGACCGCACCAAACCCAAGCCTCCAAGCACTTGTACTATAGAAGAAAACATCTCATCTACAAGCTCGAATATTTCATGTTGTGTTATTTATTACCCATGTTTGTTTGTTAGGCTCCATACGGTTCAAGTTGTTATTTTATTGAATTTGTTTCACAAATTTTAATAGATTTTGACGAAATTTGATAGAATGAATGGTTGAAAATTTGTAGATCACATAAATTATGTGGTTAAAATTTAATTGTTGACTTTGACTTAGATATTATTCAGCATTTTAGTTAAAAGCTTAATATATATGTTGCACTAGACTAGACTAACTATCACCTGACTCGTACATTATTGTCCAATTCAATGTACAAGCAGGAACCTTTTTCGAAAGCTGTACCCATGGGATTTGGTGCTTTTAGTGCACTGTAATGAGAAAATTACGGCTGTCCCAACAGCAAGAATATTGGAATAAAGTAGCCACAAACAAAAATGTGGAACACTAGTTTTGAAGAGTAATGTTATTTAGCGACACTGGGGTTGTAACCCTAGTTTCAGTGGCGTTGATATAACATTAAATGATAAGTGAAATTAAATGACTTATTTAATTTCATATTTAATTTAACCTATTTCCAAGCGTCATCTAAATTGGAGTTACAATCCCAATGGAACTATATAGCATTTTTCGGTTTTGAAATCCTTTATTAGGCCCATTAACATAGAACAAAGCTGCTCATCTCTGGATTAAATCCCCGGATTGAATCCACGCCACCTCGGCCCCTAATCTGATGCTGGCGGGCCCCATGTGTTGCAAGATCGAGGATCGAGGTGTTGCCACCTCGGCCCTGGAGCCAAACTCGGGATTTAATCCTGGGTTGTGTAGCAGAGTTCAAGAACTAAATCTATTAATTATTTAACTCGAACAATTAACATTATCAAGGGTCCCAAGAAGTACATATTCCAAGTACGGAAGCAGTTCTTTAATGAAGAGAATATCCGAAAAAAGGAATATCAACGAGTATAAAAAGCCATCCCACCAGTCATTTGGTGTAGTTCAAAGAAGTTTTCCAACTCTAAATCACTTCAAGTTATAGTGACCTTCAAGCATCAGGAATACCAGGTTTGTAAAGAACGATGGGTGCTAATACTTCAACTGAATACGACGCCCTTGGATCAGCAATGAACAAGGGCCTAGTTATTCCATCCAATGGATCATCAGCAGACAATGGTCGGATTATTGTATCCAATGGATCTTCAGCAGACAAGGGTCGGGTTATAGCGTTCCACTCCTCCTCGAAATGGAAGATGCATTTTGAAGCCTCGAAGCTGACTTCAAATCTGGTAACCGTATAAGCCTTTAGATGACGTGGTCTAATCTAGTATCAGAGCAAACAAAAGCCTGAAGTTCAAATCTCCCATTTATGAAAATTGTTCATGTGCTAACTAAGCCACTATTTGACATAATTTTTTTTTTGGAAAGAATGAGTTTTTGGATGGTAAATTTTGGAAGAATGCGTGGTTAGAAAGTGAAGAAAAGTTTTGAGTTTGTGAAGAATGTTTCATTGTCAGAATGTGTGGTTGAAAATGAGTATGAGTAAAAAGACCGAGAAAGAATGTGTCTTCTATTAACTTAAAGGATTTATAGGAATAGCTTCTTGACTTCATGATTAGCTGATAATAATGTTTTTACTTTGAAATTTCAGATGGTTATTGACTTCATGGCTTCATGGTGTGGACCTTGCCGATACATGGAACCTGCCATGAATGACTTTGCTGCTAAGTATACAGACGTTGAGTTCATCAAGATTGATGTCGATGAGTTGGAAGTAAGACAGTTTTCATTTTTGCTTCGTAATTCAAACATTTCCCATTAAATTTTAGTTAAATAATTATGGTTAAAATGTATAAAACTGTAAACAGGATGTGGCTCAGGAATTTGGAGTTCATGTTTTGCCAACTTTCACGCTGATAAAGAAAGGAACAGAAGTTGATAAGCTTGTTGGAGCCAACAAAGAAGAACTTAGGAAGAAGATTGAGAAACACAAGGCCTGATATGGCCCCCACCCAACCCCATCCCAAATTTTGGCAAGTGGTTTTCCTATCTACAATTACCATATGTTTGATGATTGGTCATTAATTCATGTATTAGGGTTTGTTATTTGAAAATAAAGATGCATGAATATTGGAGGAGAATGTAACAATTATTTTTGAATCTCACGACTTCTCTGGAAGTCTTGACATGCGGATTTATAAATGCATTAAGCATTCGTTGTAGTCAAGTGCTTGTAATATTAGTATAAGAGCAAAACTTTTATTTCGTGAGGACCCTCGTTGTGGTCGGGACATAATGAGAAAAATAATTCCATGGAATCATTCAACTGGAGAATTTGTAAAGCTACTCAAGAGTCCAATATTGCGAGTTGAAGGCGACGTTTATGGACTAATCAGCACGTTTAGTATATTCGCTTTACAGACCAATATTAAAATTGAATTTGTAACATCATCATCTTAAAACAATGGATTGTCCAGACGTCGTAAAATTTATGAATTCAAGCATCAATCAGCGGTGAGAAAAAAACTATAGTACTGATGTTGAGACATATTGATAAAACTCACAATTTCATTTCTCCACTATTTATGAATTCAAGCATCAGTCAACTTGAATAGAAATTTCATTTCTCCAAAACTCACAATATTTATTAATGACTGTGGGTCTATATTTTCAACGATTAGAAAATGGTCAATTTATTTATTGGACTAGTATCCCAAACATTTCCATCCTTCGCAAGAACTTCTCACTCTTCAAAATCCATTTCTTGAAACCCTAGCATTCATTGACATCACTTCTCTTTTAGCTAATTCTCATGTATTAAGGTCAGATGATTATTAAACTAGACTGTTCTATTGGATAGGACATCAAACAAATATCTCACACATCTCTTCCTTAAATCTTTTCAATCCTATCTAATTCAGCATATCAAACATGTTAAATATATCTCGGGTTCTCAATTTTCACTGTCATGATTAATTTACTTTGAGTGGCAAGTGGATTTAAAAGGTGCCAAAGAATATGCTAGTAGTTGGTAAATTGCATTTTCAATATATAATTTTTCTCCCATTTCACATATTTTATCTACCATTCTATGTCGCTTTCATTTGATGAGCAAAACATGAAGAAATTTCAAGTTCTATTCAAGCTCAAAAAATCATATTGAACTTCATAGAAATTTCATTATGAATCTCTGTTGGGTTAAAGGGAACACAAAACTTCTAGTACAAAGTCATTTGAGAGCCAGAAACAGAAAAAGATCGAGGATCAAAGTAGAAAAAATGAAGAATATCGAATGAAAGAAAATTTAGGAAGTTAAAACTTAAAAGACTACTACTTAGCTTGTATAGAATGCATTTAGTGTAAGAATTATGTCCCAAGTCCAATTTTTTTTTTCCACGAAACGCCATCAAAGCTTAGCTCCATGTAATCCTAAGGGGAGGTTAGAATTCTTCGACCATGTTTTATAAATAAAAAATGTTAGGATTTATGATGTATTGGCAATTCTGCAAACAAAATTAAGTCCTAATTAAAATTTATTAGGAGTTTATCAATTTATGACCAAAGTCAAAATAGGAGTTATTGAATCCTAATTAAAGTCAAAAGAGCTGGCATAGATAATATAGTCCTTGAAAAAGTCCAAGATGTCCAAGAAGATCTCATGTGATCAAGGGAACACAATTAGAAGTCTAGAGGGAATGTGACGCATTTTTAACATTGAAAATATTGGAATTTGAACAAGGCTACTACTAGAAGAACTGTAGTCCATTGAGTTAATTTTTCAACATATTTTGAATCACCTCAATCGGACATCAAGAAAGGAAGTTATGATGAAAATACTGACAATTGTTCAGCAGTTGCCTGTCCCGGGCCTAGAGCTTGAGCAATGGTGTTACGTGTGAAACCCTAATCGCTTTTTCAAGAGTTTTATTTGATCCACACTACCTAATTACCTCCTATTGTAAACACCTAAGCCCTAACACATTTTGTATGTGGTTGTTCATTATACTACTTCTTCATAACATCATTCCAAAATCCAATAACACATTCAAGCATTGAGATTAATCGTTGATTCTTGAGACCATTCAACCACAACTTTGGGAAAACATCAAATACACATAATCCACACTTTCTCAATAGTTTTTAGAGGTTGTTAAAGATTGAAAAAGCTTGGATCAAAAGCACAGGAAAAGTAGAAAAACAAGGTGTACTTGGATGATCTACATGAGATAAACAATTTCAGAAGATCGGGAACAAGTGTGAGTGAAGTACTTTCCAGCGGGTCTTGAAGATTGCAGGAATTAGATCATTGAATCTAGTAGGTTTTCTAAGCTAGATCATACTATAAGTTATATTGTCTAAAATGGAGGTTACTGGCTTAGTTTCGGAGCTTTTACTCAGTTAGGTTTTCCCCGTCAACATATTTTATGTTGTTTATTGTTTTCATATTATTGATTGTGGCATTCAAACTATAGGATAATCTGACACGGTTGATTAACTATCTAGAAACAATTAAAAAGCGAAATGTTGCTTTTAATTGAATAATTCCGCAATTTAGGTAAAAATAAATTGGCTAAATCTAAACTTTCAAGTGGTATCAAAGCCCAAATTCAATTTCTGGCCCTATTTTTTCTAAATGAGTAGTTCATTATCTGTAACGCCATATTTTGATGACAGTAACTACGCATATTGGAAAGTTAGAATGAGAGCCTTCATAAAATTGATTGATGAGCATTTTTAGTTCAGCGTAGTGAATGGTTGGACGGTTCCTTGTAGCATTGTTAATGGTGCCATCACCCTCTTCTATTGCTAATTGGTTGAAATCTTATTTAGATGAGTACAATTGGAATAGTAAAACCCCTACATGCTTTATTTATTGACTATCCCCTAAAGAATTTAGGCTAGTATCTATATGTGATATTACTAAAGAGGTTTGAGATATTTTATAGACCATACATGAAGGAACTCAGGTGATTAAGAACTCTAAGTTACAAATGTTGATCATTAGATTTGAAGAGATTAGGATGGAATAGGATGAGACATTCGATGACTTTTATGTGAGCTTGAATGACATAATTAATTTTAGTTTCAACCTAGATGAAAGAATTCATGAGCCTAAGATTGTCAGAAAAATCCTTAGATCCTTAACTGAGAGATTTACGCCTAAAATCACGACTATAGAGGATAATAAGGACATAGTTGCTATTAAGGTTGAAGAGTTGGTTTGATCTCTCTAGACTTATGAAATAACATTAGTTAAACTTACAAAAGATAATTCTTTGATCTTGAACGCTTTAAGAGATAACTGTAATGAGCCTTCTGATTCAAAGTCACCTAATGATGAGGAGATGACTTATTTTGCTAAGAAATTTTGAAAAATGTTTAGAATAAGAAGCCTCAAGAGAGACACAGAGGTGCTCCCATTGAGGCTAGAAAGAGAACTCAATTTGTGAGATGTCATATGTTTCAAGATTTTGTCCATTACAGAAGTGCCGTAACAACAAGAGAAATAAGGATAAAGTTATGAATGTTACTCTCACTAATGACAGGTCTAACTCGGATAATTAAAGTGGGAAGTCCATTCAGAATGAGAATGGGAAATATATGGCCTTCACTGCCAAGATTAAGAGTAAATTTGGTAATTAAGGAGAGTGAGAAGGTTGAGGGTATGATAGTGGCGAGCAATCTGGGGAGGATTCTAAAGATGAGGAACACATACATGAGGCTTATGATAAATTATATAAGGAGAGTCTTAGGATATTGACTACCAATAAAGTTTCATGTACGAAGGTCAAAGATCTTGAGCTAAAGAAAGAAAAAACTAATAGCATGACCTCCAAGAATTTATCTTATCTTTGAGTAAGTTGATCTCTGTGAATGAATCCTTAAATACTCATGTTGAGAATCTTCGAATGATCTTGAGCCTCTGGGAGACTTAGTGAGTTGAGTATTGTGAATGAGTCTTTAGAAAATATGGTTAAGAGCCTTATGAGCGATTTTGAGTATTCCAACACCCAACTCCTTGCATTCTTTAGTGGTTTATTGAAGTTTGATAGCATCTTAGGAATGACCAAGTCTGTTTGTAATAAGGGAGTAATAGGATATATAGAGAATGATCACAATGCTACTAGCACTTTCAATACCATTTTTGTCCTTACTACTGTCCAGCTCAAGTACATTCCTAACCTTGAACCTAAGATTAAAGGAATCGTAGAATAGAGGCCTACCAACCTAGGAATAGAAATCAACGATCACATAACCCTGGTCCTAGGTTTATCCTTACTTGTTGAAATTGTGGTGAGTTAGGACATATAAAGCCTAAGTGTCATAAATTCTTAAATAGAAATAGAAATAAGAACTTCAATAGAAATATAATCAGGATTTTGATAGCCAGATTGACTTTCTTACTAATCAAGTGAGTCAATTGACAGAGTTAATGACACATTTGACTAGAATTAATTTTTCCATTAGGCAAGTGTGGGTGAAGAAGAGTGATTTAAAAAATCTTGAAATAGATTACGGTGCTCTTAAAGGTAAGAGCATTTGTATACCTCACTGATTAGGCATTTCTGGTGTATACATGTGCTTAGTCACTGTGATTCATTCATTATTACATGCATCTCATTTTTTTATTTACTTTATAAGTAGTAGGTTTATGTATGTACATTTTCATCAGGTTTGCATTGACACACACATTTTTATTTTTTATTTTTGCATTGAATATATATATATATATATA